GCCCCCCCCCCCCCCCCGTGAGCACAGCGTACCTGCATGTCGCGGTTGACGAGGTACACGGGGAACTCGCCGAACTCTGCAAGGAATTGCCGCCCAGGTCCGTCTGGGGACGGAAAGCCCAGGTCCGTGTCGCTCGCCATGGCCATCGATCGGAAACGAGTCTCGCCCTCGCTGACGGCCTTGAGCACGGTTGTGCGCTCTGCCCCGACGCTCAGGTCCACCGATGAGGATTCTACGTTGCATCCGGCGAAGCTGGTCGGTTGGCGTGGGGGACGAGGTATGCGTGCGTGAAAAAAAGGGTCGCGTTTCGATGGTAGAAGGTCAGGGCTTGAGTCTCCCCGAACCACTGCTGCTTCTTACGTACATTGGTCACAACCATCCATCTTATCCTGTTGAGTTCGTGAGACCTTTGAGACGACTAAGCACAAGATCTATGAATATGACCAAATGCCCGTGTTGTTGTCTTCAAAACCCTGCCGCAGAAACTCCAACACGTGTACACGATGTCTCGCAATACGTATCGTTAGGGGATTCGCACATCTTCCCAGATCGTGTTAACAAAGCCGCGCCCGTAACTCTTTGCTGTCCCTGAGCATGTCCAATGTCGCATGCGCGAAATGCAGCATCGATGAGCTCCTCCAAGACCGTCATCCCGCTTTCACCATACGCCTGGAGCGCGCAGGGGAGGCAATGACGACAGCAAGAAAAGCTTATCGACACCCAGCGCGAGGTCAGAGGAGATACTTGCCCCAGCGTCGAAAAGTGGACCTCTACGTCTACATGGTCTACACTGCGCGTCCCTGAGGGATCAAACCTGACGCAACCACGCGGCCCTAAATATCCGCACGTGGTCATCGTCCGGGCAAAATTGTTTGATCACATTAACCCCGTCATCGATGAAGTTGATGCACCCACTGGTGCATGGATAGGGATTACAACGAGTACGCCGGCGAACGCCTGCTCCCTCACGCATCACTGGTGGTCTAGACTATCATGTTGCACCTGCATCCCAGTAAACGTTTTGGTGTAGGTTTCCTGAGCCAAGGACCGACGGAGTTCCGCACCCTCATTCCCACCCCTGGCATCCAGCTTTATCGCCGAAGACCGTCTTCTTGGAGGGGTTGTTGCTGAGACTAACTCGGAGAGCGCGATCCCGCCTCCGGGAGATGTATGTCGGGGAGAAGGGGACGGGGCCCCACCCCGATCATCGCTCTTATCACTCCGACCGCCGCGGCCACCGCCGCCGCCGCCGCTGCCCACTTTTGTGGGGGTACGCGGGCGGCGACGATGCGGGGGCGAGTCCGCAGCAAAGGCCTCGAGGCGCGAGGGACTGTTGAGGCGGGAAGCCGCCGCCGCCGCTTGTTTCTCGATCAGCATCTTCATTGTCACGGAACTGCTTCATTTGAGAAGAGGAAATTTGTCATGCGAACATAATAATCGTTGGTAGCTAGAGTTGAGCAGCCGAGCGTAGAAGATGCGTTGGGCTTCAGAGGCTATCGTTTTGGCTTCTTGATTTTCCCGTCATTCTTGTTGTGACGAATACTCTCACTCACGCTGCCGGGGTGGGGAACAAAATGCTACTCGCTGCGCAGTGGCGAATGAAGTGGTAGAAGGTGGGTGGCGATGGTGATGAGACGGCGTTGTTCAGAGCCAAATTAGGCTTCAAGACTTCCGGACTCGTGTGGAATGGAACACCAGACAATGTAGGCGGTGTGTCTTGGATGTTGGCGCGCTACAACGAGTGATGAGTTAGGCGTAGATGCTAAGGTTCCAGAACCGCTCGTCGGAGAATCGAACTGACCTGTATGTGTCCGAGTTGAGAAGCCAGAGTGAGTTTTTCCCTTTGGCGTAGGACCGCAGCGGGCTATTTGCTGGCCTAGCTTCTTCCCTTGGAGTGTGATTCTGCCGTTGAAGCCCAACGCAAAATGAACGGACAAGCAAGGTGGATAGAAGAGGGAACGTGTCTCCGGTCGTGCACCTGTCTCCAGGGTTTCGAGCACACCATTCGCCGAAAAATCACAGTCAATGGCGGCTATGAATTGATGGATACCCCTGGCCTATGTGGGTAACAAGCAACAGCAAGTTGTCACAACGTAAGTACAGTATGTCTAATGTCGATCAAGAAACACTGCTGTTGTACATACAAGCAGTGAAGACCGCCTCGAAGATGCGGAAAAGGGCAGCGCTCTCACTTACCACCTTGGACGACCGTGATGTGCTTAGCTGTCCCTTATTCCGTCGACAAGGAGGAGAAGACGGTATCGCTCTCGGCACCAAATCACGCGCTAAACCTAGAACCTATTGGTAGTTAATTCCAAGTGGTGTGTACGGCGGTGTAGCGGTGTAATTAAAGCCGACTCGCGGGTTTGATGACACAGGCGCGTAAACGCAACTTGTTTTCTGGCTGCAAAAACACGAGTATTTCGCTTCTTCATTCGAACTACTTCGTATCAAACTCAATTGGACAGTCAAATGCAGGGGAATACGCCAACACGAGAACCTCTCGAGTGCATGTCATTTCCATTTCCGAGGAGTGTGCGCAGTGCCTTTGGGAGGTCGTTTATTTTTTTCAAGTGTGTGCGGGCGTGAGAAACTTGTTGGACAGTCCGACGAGACATCACAGACTACAGGCAGGTTTGTGTTGCAGCCTGTCTCGTCGGCGGTTCGCTTCGTACTTAGGCTACCCTTGCTGTGTGCGGTCGAATGACGGTGTGAAGCTGAATCTAGAGTCAGTTCTACATGTTTGCCGCACACCTACGTACGCCTATTTCGCTATCAATTCACCTGGTCTGTATGCTGCAGCGTTCGCCGACAAACAGGGCTTGAAGGGCCATTCCAGTAGGAATCGTGACCCGTCTGGAACGCCATAAACCTTACGTTGTCGGGGCCTGTGCACTCGCTGGTTGTGGTTGTCGGTCTGGTCTGGTCTCGCAGGCCTATTTAGAGGTCTGAAGTTCCGGAGATTTTTTTACCGTTACATCTCGCTGGATCTAATTTTCCGGGAAGTCCAAGGTATCGAAGCGGACAGTAAACTGTTGTACTGCTGTAGGCCAGTCTACACTGCGTACTGGGTAAGGGAGACGAGACTGAATAGACGAACCAATGATACCTTGGGTCTTGTGAACAGAAGGAAAGAGGGTGTCTGCTCAAGGTAAATTAGAACGAAAAGGAGAAGATTCGTAGCGAGGAAGACCTCGCTCGGCAGCTGATGTGTACTATGTACATACAGCAGTAGTCTACAACATCCATGATCGATTTCCAAGAACCTTAACAGATGCTCGTTTTGTGTACATCAGTCCGGAGTACCTGTATATACCCGTCTTTTTGGCTGCATGAGGTTTGTGATTCGAAAAGAGGAAGAACAGCATACTACGGCGGTTCCTCGTTTGCGGGGAGGATGGCCCTCCCGGACCGCGAAAGGTTGCCAAAACGACGTGGAGCACCAACCTACAACAGATGACTATTATGAAAATATCGGGTGGACAAGGTATATACTGATTGCACTAGGAACTCGTTCAGCTTGTCTATTTAAGTCCGACCAAATAACGTAATAGTCGGGGAGAGTTCTTACCGGGTGCGATCGTTTTTTTCGAAGTTTTTCCCTCAGGTTTTTAATCGCACCCCGGTGCCATCTCGCCCCCCTCGGTGTTTGCCATCGGGGTTGTGTTTTCGTCGCTTGGCAACGACGTTATAAAACAAGCCGTCCCCCTCGGTGTTTTGCCATCGGGGTTGGGTTTTCGTCGCTTGGCAACGACGTTGTAAAACAAGCCGTCCCCCTCGGTGTTTGCCATCGGGGTTGGGTTTTCGTCGCTTGGCAACGACGTTGTAAAGCAAGCCAATTCACTTCGTGAACTCGGCAACCAGGTTATCGTTTTTTTTTTTACCTCTGTTTTTTTTTTTGGCGGTAACCATAATGGTGGTCGAGTAGATCATGTTGTGCGGGGTCGAGAACCCTCACTCCGCGCAAGGGGGATGATCGCACCACGTTGTGTTACTAGACCCCGAGTGGGGGGAGTTTTTTCCGCGCGCACCATCACAACAGCATAACCCGTGCTGCGGAAAGTACCTGCAGTAGGCTGGGTCGTGCGCCCCCCGTGAATATGTGTTGCTTTTGTTTTGGTACACACCCGAAGTGTTGTTGATGCGATGTTGCTGATGCGAATCGTTGTTGTCAGCACTCCGCATGCGTTAATAAATAATAAATANAGCAGCAGAACCAAACCGACCGACACACACGTAGCAGCAGAACCAAACCGACACACACGTGTCCCAAATGACAGTTGAAGGACGCCGCAAAGAGAGGACAAACCAGGTGTGAACGAGTGACTTAGGGGCTGGTGCAAGGAAACAACGACGCGAGAAGTGTTCACCTATTAGGAGTAGGCTTGGGCACTCGTTGTTTTTGCAGAACGTCGCCAATTGGCGCAGTTATCGATGAAACGGATTGTGAATAGAGTACATATCGGCACCGAACGCAGCGACGCGGGCACGAAATGAGAAACGCTTGGGTGCGGAATGATGGCCTGGTTACGCTACAGCTTGTACACTTTTCGGCACCGAAAACGATCCTCAAACGGCTTGTTTATCGGTGCAAAGGTGGTGCGAACACACACACACACACACACACGGACATCAATTTGAGAACAGTAATTAATTCAGGGGTCGGGCTGACAGGCGGTGTTATTCAACGTGCGCAGAACCCAGGCGGGAAAACAAAAAGGACCCATCTAAAACAGTTTTTTTGCGAAAAAAAAACTCCGCTATCGCTCCGTTTTTATTTTCGCACGCGCGCTTCGCGCGCGGAAAAAACTCCTAAAATGGTCAAGCACCCTCGAGGCAATTACACAGTGCTTACAACTGTCTCAGGAAGTGTAAGCACCAGAAAATAAACTAAGTCATACCCAGCTGTCATCCGTGCGCAAGGAAG